AAACAAATTTTAGAATTGAATTTTGCACAATATACTGTAAGTTAAAAATGTTTGTTTTTATTAGCGATGTTGCAAAATAGCAATAATTGATGAAAAAAAAGGCAAAATAATCAAGTTTTTTTGGATAATTTTTTAAAAATATTTTAATTGATCCGAGGGCATTCTAATTTTGGTAAAAAAAATCTTTAGAGTATAATAAAACAACGCACCAAATTTCATGAAAATCGGTTCTATAGTTTTCGCAAAATAATCTTTTGAAAAAAAATGTTGAACAAAAATTTTCGAATTTTCAAAATGTTGCACAGCCTCAAATAAAGCATCTAGATACTTGAAAATTTCTTNTTTGTTTAATATGATTTTTATTACATCCGTAAAGAGAAATTAACCCATGAAATTTGCATACTTTCTTATTTAAAAAAAACTTTTATTTTATCTATTTTCAGGGGCGTCGTTTAAGGGGGGCTCCGTAGGGGGACTAGGGAAAATTTTTATAGGAGCTCTTCATGCACTTTCTGGGATACCCTGTAGAAGCGACGTTACCGGATAGGTATACTTGTTTTTTAGCACTGTCCATACTTTTATATTTAATTAAGACTAGCTAGAAATCAGGTTTTGGGGTTACCTATTTCACATTAACAAAGAACAGATCATAGATCCGTTTTTAATTCAAATATATCCTTTTAAAACAGTCCGAAGAATAAAATTTTACACTGCGTTCGACAATAATTAATAGAAGAAGGCAACTATAAGTGAAAATAAAACGAAGCAAGCAAATATTGAAGTAATTAGTTTATAAATTATGCAAATTTTCACAATTTCACAAATGTTTCACTAAGAAACATCGACCCCCGTACGTGTCGTTTTCGTGCCTAACGCCTAAAACGGTCAGAGGAAATGGAGTCATTTTATGTATCGGGTTCCACGGTCTTGAAGTACTAATTCCCATATAAATTACCACTTTTTTACATGTTTTCGTAGCTGTCTCGCATTTTAATCTCACAAATTAAGGATTCACCTCAACGCCCAAGTGACTCAGCGGGCAATGGTCGGTACGGTACCGCTTACACGATTCGATTTTCAATAATTATTGCACCTGCGGCTCCCAACATTGTTTGCTCGAAATTCCAAATCGCGCAAAGCCATCGATTTCTTCACGCAACTGTCGTTAGTACAAATGCTCCGAAAATTGAAGTGGTAAGGTACCGTTGGATTTTTAACGACAACTTCCTTAATTTTAAAGCTATTAATACGATCCAAAAACGATTTTACGGAAAATTTCGACAACTAAAAGTAGGTACTGTAAAATTGAATATTTTTTAATGTCTTGTTTTTGAGATTTTTGAGGTTAAAGGGTTTGAAAAACATGACCTTCGCCCTCAACTGCAAACTTCTAGCAGCGACATCTCTGTTAATTTTTATCCTACACAAATAAAAAAAAAAAACAAAATATTCTATGAAAAAAATCTAAACTTTTGTACACTTGAATATTTTTCGTATCTTTTTTATTTTTAGTTATTTTCAATAATATGCATTCTAAACCGCTTAAACCTGTGTAATATATTTTTAGCACATAAAGAAATGTAAATTGTAGAAGGATTACCTTTAATTTTAAATCTCGTGAAAAAATTCATCAGTTTTTGTACAATTTTTTTTTTCAGAAAAAGCAAATTAATAGTTTTATTTTGATCACGACTAATTTTTATACTAATGACAGTCAAGTTCATTTTAAAGATTTTTTAAAGTACTTTAAAAAATGTTCTGTGTATTTTTCTTGAAAAATAGATTTTTTTTTAGTTATTTTGCGTTGAGTGTTTCCAATTTAGTTTCTAGCGGACATGAAATTATCTTCAACCAGCCGTATCGCAGCACCTACATAAATGAAAAAGAAACTCAATCTTTTTCTATACGCTTAATTTTCTTCGTGGCATTTTTTTTTTTTTCATAGAATGTGTATTTTCCGAATTATTCGAGAAAAACTACCGAAAAACGTCTTTTTTTATTAAAAAAATGTACATTTTCAATCACCAAAATATTGAATATCGAAGAATATTCATGATACTTTTTTTTAAATTGATTACTTTATCGATTCCTGTGGTTATTTTATATTATATTTTATTTTTCACCCCCTAGAAGGGGTGGCGTCCATCCCCTGGGCAAAAGCGCTCATCGGCACTATATAACTTTTGTTTCTTGAGCTATTTTTTTATTTTTTATTTACAGTCCAAGTTTGACGTCAATCGGTTCTATCCGAAAGAATTCGGAGGGGAAACCCTTCCCTGGACTATAAGTGTCAAATGAATAAAGAAAATGACAAATAATAATTTATAGCAACCATAATTTTTATTAATCAGGCTATTTTTTATTGAAATATGAAATTATATTTTTTAAAATGCTTCTAAACAAAAACGAATTTGACCTGTGTTCATACAAGAAAAAATGTTTGAAATTAAGCCAGCTACAATCTGTCAAAGTTTGTTATAGAGCCTGTAAAACACCATGTGTATCTACTGTGCTGTATACTTTCATTGCCATTACTTTTTCTTTTAAAAGATTGAAAGTCAATGGAAATAATAAAAATATGTTTATTTTTATCATTTAAAATGGTGAACCTTTTAACTAGAATTATTGTGTCCGCGAAATTTGTTCATACGTTCAATTTTCGATATTAAATAAAATTGGTAGGCAACTGTTCCATTGATTCTATTTTTCATCTTTTGAAAGAAATTTTCTAAAAGTGGATATTTGTATTTAATAATTAAGCAGCTTTAATAGTAGATAATTTGTGTTATTTAATGGGCCTTCTCTGAGCCATGCACGAAAGGTTAGCAGCACCAGCGCCATCTACTCGTTACTACTCTTTGTAAATCAATCGTATCGGTGTACATAGAAATCTGCGAATATCACTGTAAAATTTATTCAGAGACCCTTACTATTTGATTTATGGTTTTAATTTATTCTTCATCTATTTATAAACTCTCACAATCAGAAACGTGTTGAGGACCACTGAATTCTAACGAAATCGACTTCTTGAGAAACTCAAGCGAGCAGGTGTAGTTTCGTTGCATTGTTTGGAGTTTTTTCCTCGCATTGACAAATAGGAAGAATTATAGTATGTTTGGTTAAGCGTAAACAGTTTTAAAGCAATTAATTGTCGAAAATTAATTTCTTAATNCGTGACGAATTCTTGCTTTTAAATCTTCTAAATTAACCGGTCTAGTAACGTATACTTTGCTTTTTAAGTATCCCCACAAAAAATAATCTAGGGGTGTCAAATCAGGCGATCTGGCTGGCCACTGAATCGGCCCCCTTCTCCCTGTCCAACGATTCGGGAACAGCTCATCTAAATAAGCACGGACAGGTGTTGCATAATGGGGAGGTGCACCATTTAGTCGATTTACATTATCATTTTCAGTATTGTGAAAATTAAATTTTTAAATCTTCAAACATTATTTTCTTGAAATTTTTGTTATGTAACACCATAACTTTTCATGATCTGTGTATGTAGAATGACACGCTCTTTCAAATGGCATGGTCAAAATTGGGGGGTTGCTATTTAAAAAAATTGTCGATGACGTCATATCTCGAACAACGATGACGTCACAAATATGGGTCGTATGTCAAAAAGTGCCTTTTTTAAAAACAAAATCGTCGTGTCAGGGGATTTTTTCGAAAACTTCTCAATTTAAAAAATAATTAATTTATTATTCACTTTTCGAAAGCACTGTAAATAATAAACTTTGTTTATAACAAAATATGTGCAAATTAGACAGTTGGCATTACGATATTTGAATTCCTTGTCTCGCGAGAAATCAGATTAAAAAAAAAGATCGAAATTGGTCCATTAAAAGCCGAGATAATGTTATTTTTTTCGTACCTTTGCATTTTGAACCTCCGAATTCAGTCTCGGAGCGAAAGCCCCCTCCCCCACTTTTCGTGTTTTGAGTCACTTTTCGCGCGTGCGAGCGACAGCTTTTCTGCTGATTTATCTATATTGCCGATAACTTATGGATATGAAAAATTTCTTCAGTTTAGAACTCGGAAAAACGAAGCCACTGGATCAAATATTATTGCTAAATTGTTTATAAATTAACGGTAAATGCCGATAAACTGTGAGCGCTTATATCTCGAGAACCAATGAACGGAATTTAACTTTTTTTTTTTAAGAGAAGCGTCTTTCCGAGTACTTTAAAATTATAATTTTTGAAAAAAAACTAAATTGCAAATTGATAAATATAATTTAATTGTTTAAAAATAAAAAAAAGAGTGATAACTTTAAAAATTTACTATGGCCGTCCTAATCAACCGATTTCAATTTTTCAAAAACCATTTGAAAGGTTGAGTGGTCTTTTCTATGTGAAAAAATTTTCAAGTATCTAGATGCTTTATTTGAGGCTGTATAACATTTTGAAAATTCGAAATTTTTTTTCAAAATTCATGTCAAAAAATTATTTTGCGAAAACTATCGAACCGATTTTAATGATATTTGGTGTGTTGTTTTATTATACTCTAAAGTTTTTTTTACCAAAATTAGAATGCCTTCGGAGCAATTAAAATATTTTTAAAAAATTATCCTATAAACTTGATTATTTTGATTTTTTTCATCAATTATTGCTATTTTGCAACATCGGTAATAAACTTAAACATTCTTAACTTATAGTAAATTGTGCAAAATTCAATTCTAAAACTTTTTTCCTCTTCGATATTCTTCCAAAATGCATAGGTTCCAAGATATAAGTAAAGCCGTATCAATCACAATCAGCGACTTATCGGTATAAAATTATTTCAAAACCAAAAACATCGTCTGATTCTAAGTAATACAAGAAAAGTACAAAACAATATTTTAAAAACAGGCATTTATTTTAATGCATTAAAAAGAAAATAATAAGCCAAAGAGTTCATAAAACTCATAATGTTGTATAAACAGTAGATGAATGCACTTACTCCTCATATTTTCTCGCTTGTTTCGTCTAATTTGACTTGATCCCCTTCGTCGGTTTCAGGTGATGCATCCCTCCAGCTAGCCGCGTTCACACCAATTCCAAAATGGCGCGCAACTGGACGATCTACGTGCTATCCGTCGCCATCTTGTTAAAAACGAGTGCCAGTGTGACAGAAGACCTCCTGGACCAGTACGTGCGACACGTGGGCAACGTCAACAGGCTAGGCTACGACTTAGATAGTGATTTCAAATCAAACCAAAGACACGGTAGAGACTACGTTAATAAATTCAAACGTTCGCGATACAGTCGTCTGACGCGAAAGCTGCGCTCGGTAGAAGACGAAGAAGAGGAGATCGCGTCGGGTATTAGCGTAGACGAAGAAGAAAGCGGTGATTACCGCGAACGTAGGGACGTTTCCAGCGACATCCTGTGGACGCATTCGGAGGTGTTGGATAGGGACGGATTGGTGGTGTTGAGATGGCAACCGCGGCACCAGGAGATCTTGTTCAGGGTGGAGGCTAGGACGAGGGGTTACGTGGGGATCGGGTTCAGTCCTGACGGGGGAATGGAGAAGGCCGATATCGTGCTGGGCTGGGTGGAGGACGATTCTGGCAAGGCTGTGCTGATGGTGAGTTTAATTTTAAATATTGTTATTAGACCGATCAAAATAACTCATTTAGAGGGAAAAAAAATAGTTACCTGGACTTTTATAAGTGGAAATGGTAGAAGGGCTTATAATAAACGAAAAAATAAATAAATGCATGAGCAGGGGCGGCGGAGGGTTAATTTAGGGGGTTGAAAAGTTATGAAAAATTGTGTCATTGGGATTTCTGGCGAAAGTTGACGTCAAACAAAAAAGTATCCAATACAAAAGTTGCAGATTATGCAAAAATCTGCAACTTTTGTAGAAGTCACTTTTTAAAATAACCTCAAAATATCCGAGAAAAATGCGAAAAACAGTTTTTTTTTCGTTTTTTATTTCTCATTTTTTACGCAAATATAATTTAATTTTGACGAACCTTGGTGAAAGTATACCTTTCCCTGTCTTAAATAACCTCAAATTTTTTTTAGATAAAAAAATCAAGAATTTTCTGATATTAATTTTCTTTCGGCCTTAAACACTTTTTTTCGTTTTGACATATACTTTTTGGTGAAATAAAAAATGTGTAATCACAGTTCAAAAACATGCCAAAAATGCAAAAAAGTAAAAATTGACGCAGCAATGAATTTTTCAGTAACTGTTGATAATTTGTTTAAATTTAAAAAAAAATCAAATACTGATTACACCATTCAATTGTACGGAAAAAATACAAAAGAAACTGTCTCATTGTTTGACCCAAAACTATTTTTGTACAGTATTGCTATAAACATATATTGCTATATAAGTCGAATAGTGAATAAATAATATAAATAATAATTTTTTTCCGTATGGTCGATTAGTGTACTTATTTTTTTTTTAAAGTTTGATGATTTCATAGATATACAGTGTGTTTTTTATGCCTAACAATATGCTGTTTAGAAAGTTTTAAAATTCCGGGTAGTTCCATTTTTGCAAAATTGTTTAATTTTTTCTGGCTTTATTTTAAAATAAATTACATATTCACAATGCCACTTTTTTCGCTCTATACAATGGCGCAACATTTTTGCAATCCGACGTTTCGTCTTCGAGGGGCCATCATCGGGTTAATTTTTTTAAATACGTCTGCTATTTTTATGACAAAATCTAGTCATTTTTAATTCTGAATTAGAGGATATTACTATTGTTTTACTATAATTTTTCCCGAGTACGGCTCTGAACACTTATGTGAACCTGGCACCCGACTTTTCAAAATTCAATTTTTTTTTTGAAATTCTTTTAGATTTCCGTTTGTAGTTGTTTGTAGTAACAATATTTTCGTTTGTAGTAGCTCAAGAAAAAGTTATTTGGCCTTTAAAAAAACGCATCCCTCAATTTAGCCGCACTTAAATCTGATGGTTGATTGCTATAGAAAATCGTTTGTAGGTAGTTGATTGTAGTGAACGAATTTTCGTTTGTAGTAGCAAGGAAAAAAAGTTAGAGATACATTAAAAATGACTAGATTTTGTCATAAAAATGGCAGCGATATATTTAAAAAAATTAATCTGACCCTCGAAGACGAAAAGTCGGATTGCAAAAATGTTGACGCCATTGGATATAGCGAAAAAAGTGGCAATGTAAATATGCAATTTATTTAAAATTCGTTTTCAAATAAAGCCAGAAAAAAAAATAAAACGATTTAATACTTTGTATTGCTGAAATCTCAAATCATCTAGAGATAATTTATCATTTGTGTATTTGTAATTCGACTTAGATGTTTATAGCGATACTGTACAAAAATAAAGTTTTGGGTCAAACAATGAGACAGTTTCTTTTTAATTTTTTTCCGTAGAATTGAATGGTGTAATCAGTTTTTGAATGCTTTTTAATTTAAACAAATTATCAACAATAACTGAAAAATTCATTGTTGCAAGTCATTTTTGAGCATGTTTTTGAACTGTTATTACAGATTTTTTTTATTTCACCAAAAAGTATATCTCAAAACGTAAAAAAATGATTACCGGCAGAACTACTGTACGATGATTTTTTTAAGTAGAATTTTTCTTTGAAAAAAATCAGAAACTTCTTGATTTTTTTATATAAAAAATTGGAGGTTATTGAAAACAGAGAAAGGTATACCTACTTTCACCAAGTTTCATCAAAATTAAATTATTTTTGCGGAAATGAGAAATAAAAAACGAAAAATTAGAAAAAAAAACTGATTTTCGCATTTTTCTCGGAAATTTTGAGGTTATGTTAAATAGTGACTTCTACAACAGTTGTAGATTTTTGCATGATCTACAACTTTTGTATTGGATACTTTTTTGTTTGACGTCAAACAATTCGCCAGAAATCCCAATGATACAATTTTTCATAACTTTTCAACCCCCCAAATCCACCCTCCGCCGCCCCTGCTCACGCATTTATTTATTTTTTTTCATTTATCATAAGCCCTTTTACCATTTGCGGCTTGCGAGAAAATCAACATTGAAATAAGGGCCCATTTTTAGTGGTATACTAATTTTTTAATTGTCAGGATTTCTAGGATTTTGATAGTTTTAAAAAAATTATGCGAGCGGTGGTAGCAAAATTGCAACGATTTCTGCATGCACTATGTAAATTCCGTTTCCTGTTTGTGTATAGCGATAACGTTGGTGGAACTTGTGGGCGACGAATTTCAAATTGTGAAATCTTCTGATTCATAGGCGTCCTGAGGAAAGCAGTGGTTAATAACATTTTATTATTTTCGATAGTTTCTTTTCATGAGTTGCAATTGTTATCGCCTAGAATATAAAGCCTCACACCTGTCGCGTCATCACCAAATGACGTCACTGTCAGTGGTTTACTCAGTGCCTAATCCTAAATGATAAAATGCAGTAATATTGTATAAGAGATTGTCAAGTAGCAGTTGACAAACAAAATTGCAGTTTGTGGAAATTTTCAAGTTAATTCACCTAAACAAAAATGTCGATATGTATTTTAATGGAAATTAGTTTCTATTTTATTTAATCTGTCATTGCTTTCGTTACAAAACTGAATATGCAACACGTCGGTGCAACTCTGGTCATATCATATACAGTAGGGTGGCCCAAAAAAACGAAGATATTTTTTTCCTGTCATGAAAATATTTTTTTTTTCATTTTTTTCTCGTTATTTTATCATTTTCTTGGTTGAAAAAAATCTCGATTCTGAAAATTTCAAATCGATATTTTAATTTCCAAAGGTCACTCATAATTATTTTAACTTTCAAAGTAGTGTACCTACCTAAAATGTTTTCGAGTGACCTCTAAAAATAAATATCAACGAACTAATAATTTTTTTATTGAATTTGATGAACAAAAGAATAGAAATAAATCACGAGACACTTAAATTTTAAAAAATTAAAAAATTATGAATATATATTTTGCCTCGAGAAATTTTTTAAGTGTCTCGTGATTTATTTCTATTCTTTTGTTCATCAAATTCAATAAAAAAAATTATTAGTTCGTTGATCGAAAACATTTTAGGTGCACTACTTTTAAAGTTAAAATAATTATGAGTGACCTTTAAAAATTAAAATGACGATTTGAAATTTTCAGAATAGAGATTTTTCTTTCAACCTAGAAAATGATAAAATATAACGATAAAGAAAATTAAATTTTTTTGAGCTGATTTTTTGAGAAGGCTTTTAAAACATGATAAACTAACACATCTTTTCAGAAGAGACACGAACAAAAATAAACGTTTTTTTGGGCCACCCTAATATACAGCCTCTAATATTTTTAATAAGTAAAACTGTTGCATGATAATTTTACTATACAGGCTGTCTTACAGTGAAGGCCAATTTATTTTAGAATTATTAGCAGCATTTTGATATTTTGCAACATTTGAGGAATCGGACTTTGACCGAATGAAAGTCGGCGAGCTACATACAATAGCGTTCTTTGTAGAACATTGAAACATGTATTTTTTTATTATTTTTCTTCATTTTAATATGATAAGACCATTTTTCACAGATACAGCCTTTCGAAGATCACTAAAAAAAACTTTTTGCTCCTTTAATTTTTTTCGGTAATGTATTTAGTGGTTTATAATTTTGAATATTTTTATTGTAGTTTTTAAAAAATGAGACAAAAATTTTGAGTCGCAGTTTAAGACTGTATTTGAAATATTACAATAGGCATATGTTAGAAAGCTAGAAACACAACGACGTATGCCACACTATACAAATTTTATTACGGCGAAAGAAACGGCAGATCAAGTAAAAGAAAACAATAATCTCCTTTGACAAATTATCTGCGGACGCCCATGCTCTAATTCTGATACGCACATCTTGCCATACTTGTTCTTCCAGAAGCTAACTTTGGAAACCTTTTAGAATAAACTATCGATGTGATTTCGTTCGATAAGGACGTTTGTCCAGCTCGCTGGGGAGCAGCTGCAAGTAATCTCACCAATTGTAACGCACTTTCCCATCGTTAATAATCGCTCATTTACGTGGGAAGAAGTCGCATTAATTACGTGAATTAAAATTATCCGTTGGGTCGATTATGACATCTTGAGCCTCGTTAAGCGTGAAAATTCGTAATTGGCTGAATTAACCGTCATTGTCTACCTTGAGTGGATCAAGACGTGACGTGGCATTTCCTCTTGCGATTGCAGAGTTTTTTCCACGGCGTGTTCATTTGAGAAGTCATTGGGTTGTGTAATGCATAATGGAGCCGTTGCGACTGGAAATTTTATTGAAAATAAAATTAAAAATGATTCATTACTCATCATAATTTTTAAAAAATTTTTAAAAATAATTGGTTACCCATTTTTGAATACCCTGTAAAGTATATATTTTTAAATGGGGTCTTATTTTCTTCATATTGACGCACAATTTTTTTTTCGTCATAATGTAGATGAGTGGAGACATCTTCGATATATATTTTTTAAATATTTAAATAATGTATAAATTTTGTCCACGTTTTGATTGATTTTGTTATTTTCTTTCCAACCATATAAAATTTTATGCCTGCATAACGAAATTTTTGGTAAAAAATGAGCAAATGTTCAGCCTTTGACTTTCGTTTACGGTGCTCGCTTTCTAA